TACCCTTTAATATGTAGGTTGGCTTTGTTCTCTATCTCCCATTTGTATTATCTTCTCCTCCAATATTTACTGTCCTTTCTGTTCCGTTCGTGTTCTGGAACAGTGCCTCTGCTGAGTCGTCGTCACTGATCCCACTTCCCAGGCCCTCCGTTCTGCTCCTTCTGGTCGGTCAGCAGTCACTCTGCTTTGGTAGTGTGGGTTTCCTAGGTTTTTCTTTCTGAAGAGTCTGATGTCTCTTCGCATCAGCCTGGCTTCCCCTCATGTCTTTCTGTTTCCTTCTCCTGGAGGTGGGGCTTCGGTGCTTTTGAAAACAAAGTGCTTTCTGGAATGTGCCCTGGTGCCCCCGCCCCGTGGTGCACCTTCCAAGAAGGCCACTTCACTGGTCGTCTGGACTCTGCCTTTCCTGCTGGGTGGCATTTTGTCAGAGGCTCTCCGTTGTCTCTTCAGTTGTTACGTGCTCCTCGTCTCTCGCCCTTTCTGTGGTGGTGCGGGGGGGTTGGGGAGGCTCCTTAGATCTCTGGGGAAGACAGGGTGATGCACAGCATCTAACCTGATTTTTTTTAATCTTTATTTTTGAGCGCGAGAGACAGACAGACAGAGCATGAGCGGGAGAGGAGCAGAGAGAGAGGGAGACACAAAATCTGAAACAGGCTCCAGGCTCTGAGCTGTCAGCACAGAGCCTGACACAGGGCTCGAACTCATGAACTGGGAGATCATGACCTGAGCTGAAGTTGGATGCTTAACCGACTGAACCAACCCAGGAGCCCCTCTGATCCTATTTTTATGGATGAGATCTGAAGCGCTGCTCTGTTCGGCTGCAGCGGAATTTATCTCACTTTTGTCAGTTAGTTATCTGATGTAACAAACCAGGAGTCACAAACTCATGGCCAACAGGCTGCAGACAGCCCACAGGCCTTGTTTATGTTGGGACCTGCGTGAAGTCTAATATTTATCATTTTATTTTATTTTTTGTTTTGTTTCTCACATTTAAATATTTTTTTGATGTTTGTTTATTTTTATTTTGAGAGAAAAATAGTCCGAGAACAAGTAGGGGAGGGGCAGAGAGAGGGAGACAGAGAATCCGAAGCAGGCTCCAGGCTCTGAGCTGATGCGGGGCTCGAATCCACAAACTGTGAGATCATGACCTGAGCTAAAGTTGGACGCTTAACAGACTGAGCCACCCAGGCACCCCAGTATTTATTGTTTTAATGCCTTAAAATGGGTCGTGGGTTCTCCCCTTTACCAGAGCACCCACCCCTCCTTACTGTCTCACACCCAGCCCACTTTCCTCATTTACGGTTTCTGCCTGGTGTCTGACACACGTGAGACCTCAGTGCTTACGGCCAACAGGGTCCCAGCCTATCTCTTCGTCCCCAGGTGCTCCCCACAGAACTAGGCATTTTTAAAATTTTTAAAATTTTTTTTTAAAATTTATTTCTGGGAGAGAGAGAGTGAGAGAGACAGCGTGAGCATGAGAGGGTCAGAGAGAGAGGGAGACACAGAGTCTGAAATAGGCTCCAGGCTCTGAGCTAGCTGTCAGCACAGAGCCCAACGCAGGACTCGAACCCACAAACTGAGATCATGACTTGAGCTGAAGTCAGACGCTCAACCAACTGAGCCACCCAGGTGCCCCAGAACTAGGTATTTTTATTCATTCACCAACCTGCTGGTATTCAGTGGTCCTGGCCTGTGCCTCAGTCATGCTTAGGGCTGTGGATACCCCCCTGAGGGGGACACTGAGGGGACCTGCCTTCTCTCTGAGGTCCAGTGAGGAAGAGTTATTAATATTTGGCAAGAAGTGGTGGTAGCTTGATACAATCATTTCTTTATCTTCATCTTGATTCTCCGAGCCCTCCCCTAGTTACCTAGGATTTAATCACAACGATCAGTCTTTTTTTTTTTTTTTTCCTGTAAAAAACGTTGAACACGATTCAACTGAGCTGACGGAAAAAAAACCTCACTGGGTTGCTTTGTAACTAGACACCATCTTAGATGTGAGATTATTTGAAGTAAAAAAAACAAATCAGCAGTTTGCATGCACAGGGCTGCGTTAGTGGGGGATGACCAAACAGGTGAGCAAACTTGTACACAGCAGGTAAGTTGATCTCAGTTTTACAAAATTAGGCTTCTTCATTTGGGGTTTTTGCAGCCTGTTTGTCTGATGAGCCACCCGGGCACTCTTGAGGCGCCCTGGCCATCGGGACATTGGTTGGAGAAGAAATCTGCCCAGAGAAACATGCTTCTGTAGGCATTCCAAGAATTCTGACTCTGCAGACCAATTTTCCCCTCTTGTCCGTTGCATGGTGGAAGATACAGAAAATAACTCTAGGGACATCACGCTGACTTTTTGAAGAGCGTCAAGCATGGGAGGGACAGCTAACCATCTGCAGATGCAAGTGATTAAGTGCAAAATAACACTGCCTCCCAACAGGGCTGTTGGGCTCACTGCTCGCTGATGGTAACAGGTCAGACTATCGTTCTGTTAGGGTGACCCATTCATTGTATCACTGAACGCTTGTGTGCTGGAATTTACAAAGTGCTTTTCAACCGTTATTTCTTGTTTGCTGATGAAATGACAGCATTAGCAGAGGTCAAGGCTATGAAAACAGACACTGAAAACTCCAGAAGTGTAGTAAGAGCTGGCTACACACCACGTGCTTGGCATTTATCATGATGGTGACCCTCACGCAGCATTAGTGACAAAATCAGGCACGGAATTCAGGCCTCCTACTTCTGTATCTTCTGCTGTCTCCACAGCCCTCGGCTTCCGCTTTTTAGATGTATTTGGCAATCGACTGACCAAGTTTTAAAGAAGCAAGTCTCAATTCCGAGGAATGTAAAAGCATCAGCCTATCGCTGAGCTCAGAAAGTGTTCCAAGAAGCTTTTGTAGCCAGATTCCCATCAATCACCTGGGGAGAAACAGTAAACACTTCCTCTAGTTACCATAAGTCAGTGTACCCTGCGCTGGCCCTACTAAGGACAGAGACGTGACGGGGTCACCACTGCAAGATCCGCTCATCTCTGTCTTAGCCGATAAGAGCAATAAATGGCCCCCCCCCTTTTGATTAGCTGAAAGGGCCACCACCACCAGGAAAAAATAATCCAGGAAGTGGAGTTCATCCATTGGATGGAAGCCTCCCGTTTCCACATTTGATTTTGCTCTTTGACTCTCCTCATTGATTGTTAGCCCAGCCAATAAAGATGGATGAGGCCCCTGGTAGCATAGAAAAATTGGTGCATGTAGTCCTTCAAAGGAGGGTGAATTCACCACTGGCCCCCTGAATCTCTCCAAACTTCCCCTGGCTTTTGATCCCTTGCTTACTTTCACATGCCGGAGGGGGACCTTCCGAGGTGCTGAGTTCTCAAAGACTAGATATTTGATTTTATGGTGCAAACTTTTCCCTGTCTCTCTAGACACATATCACAGTTGAACATTTTATATATTTTGGCTCCGGATGGTAGTGACTGATTATCAGAATTTTTCTCTCACAATTTATAGATGCTCTGTGTACTTTTCTCTTGTTCTAGTCACTAAGCATTGGGAATCATGATTTATTTACTAATCAGAGAACATAATAGTTTCTAACTACACGAAGGAGGGAAAGATGGTTATTGATATCGTCTAACAACTACTAGAACTCTGCAGAGAAAGAGTATTTCTTTAAAAAACATGTAGTGGGACACATATTTGTGAATTTGCTTACATTTACAGAAGTTGTAAGTATTCATTAAGAAAAAAGCATTTGAGTTCATATACAGCCTAAAAGAAACTAATAGAGAACACTTATTTTGGTAAACATAAGAGAGAATTCATAAGGTACAGTTTTAATTTTTCTTAAAACTGCATAACCCAGGAATTGGCAAGTTTTATGGCGCATTATTTTAAGGGTATGGATAACATAATATCTGTGTGTTTACTTTTTTATATCCTAAAAAGGTGTTAACAATCTTACATTTTCAAGGTTTTTTGAGGTTGACAGTGGCTTCTCCAGAAATTTGTGAACTGTTGAAGAGCACGGTGCATTTTGGGACTTAATGTCAGGCAGTGAGCACATAAAGGGCCCTGTGTGCTGTTCCGCACGTGACCAAGACTGGGGGTGCAGTGATGTAGAGGTATCCTAGCAGGTGCTGGCCAAGCAGCTGGGCAAGAATAGGTCGTTTCCCCTGTGTGGAAACGGCTCAGGTGGTCTACTCAGACCCAGATCCTGGGTCTCCATGAAGCACATTGATCCCACATTCCAGACTCAGGGCCTTCCAAGAAACTTCTCAGCTATGCTCTTAGCTCTTGGTAAATGTCATGGTTAACACAAACTAACCTTAACCCAATCTATGGACTATCCGCCTCTTAGCCAAATAGACAGCACAGGATCTTGTGTTGACTATCATTCATGCCACTATTTACTGCTGTAAACATAATACTTGGATCATTTTTTTTAAGTTTATTTACTTATTTTGAGAGAGAGAGAACACACACGCATGAGAGAGAAAGCGGGAAGGAGCAGAGAGATAGGGAATGAGAGAGAATCCCAAGCAGGCTCCACAACGCGGGACGTGAATCCATGAACCTTGAGATCATGACCTGAGCCAAAATCAAGAGTCAGATGCTCAACCAACTGAGCCAACTAGCCATCCCATAAATTGACCATTTTGATGGCAATTTTGTTTCTCATTGTGTATTTCTTCAGAAAACATTAAGTACTTAATATGTGTTGGTCGCACACATGTTAGTACGCTTCCATTACATGTACACATTTCATGTTGGGTGAAATACACCCAAGCAGAATCTTCCAGGCTGCCCACTAAATGGTTAGATTACTTAACTAGTCAGATCACTTGACCTCTATAGGGGATCTGTAAAGTTAGGGGATGGGGCCAGAAATACGAACTCTGAGGAACCTTGCGAGACTAATCTTTTGTGATATTATCTACCTCCCCTTATGAGACAAATACAGCACCCACCACATCTTTATCTGAGGCTTCCTGTCTGCTTGTTTTTCAGAAATGTGAAAATAAAAACTGGAGAATGGTTCTTTGAGGAACGAGCCAAGAAATTTCCCACTGAAGGTAAGTGCCCCTAAGTTTTTTTTTTTTTTTTTTACTAAAGTAAAATGATACATTCATTCCCAGTTTAAAAATATTTGGTGTTAAGACTTGAAGACACATTGGGGCACCTGGGTGGCTCAGTTGGTTGAGCGTCCGGCTTTGGCTCAGGTCATGATCTCACAGTTCGTGGGTTCAAGCCCCACGTTGGGCTCTGTGCTGACAGCTCAGAGCCTGGAGCCTGCTTCACGTTCTGTATCTCCCTCTCTCTCTGATCTTCCCCTGCTGATGCTGTCTGTCTCTCTTCAGAAATAAATAAAACATTAAAAACTAAAAAAAAAAAAAGACTTGAAGACACAAAACTTTGCAGGTCCTGGTAGACAGGCCTTTCCCTTCCTACTGAACTGTTCTGTTCAGTTATGCTTTCCTGCACTTGCCCCCTAGTCCACCCTGCTCAGCACCTCTGACTACAGAGCACCCCCTCTACCTCAGCTCTGACTCAGGAAACCCACCTGCTTTCCTTGAAGTCTTCTTGACTCCCTGCGTGTGAGAGTGAGGTCTCCCTCCTCCCAAACACCAGCAGCTCTTGATTATCCAGCTTTTCCATAATTGTGGCAAGTGCCTTATGTGGTATTACTATTTGCATACTTCTCTTTCTCTCCATAAGCAGAAACTATGCTTTTAAAATCTCGTTCGTCCCTTACCAGCACCAAGCACAAAACCTTGTTCCTGACACTTGATCAAAAATGACTGAATACCTGAAGGCCACGGAGAGTGAGCAGGATTAGAATTTAGTAGATATTGATGACCAGGAAGTAAGCATGTGTCGTGATTCTATGAGCGAAAGTGTGCCTATGGTCTGGGTACCATGAAGATCTAATGGGTCTTTACAAAGCTGATGTGGCAGTGGAACTGGTAGCTGGGGCTGGGAACCAGTTGGAGAACTGAGTTTGCTTTGGTAACAGAAGTGCCCACATCAGAGGATGTGAGCTGCACAGACAGGAAAACAACTTATCAGACGAAGGCACACACGTGTGTCATCAAAATAAAGCGGAGCCCACATGCTCTGTGAATCACATTCGTTCATGGTTGTCACACGCATCGTCTGAGATGTGTGACAGCGGGGGCTGACCTAGAGGGAATGGGGTGGCTTGAAACCCTTTATTCTTCCGGAAGAAGTGACTGAGACAAAGATAGAAGCTATGTAGTCACAACCCAAGATGTGATGTGAGGAAAGGAAGCCATTTGTCTGAGCGTTGACACTCAGCTTTTATAAAAGGTACTGTCAACTGAAGTGGACATTCAGTCGGCATTAAATTCTCTGCTGGATCATATTCCTGAGTCTTCTTACTCAAGAAAAAATGATGTTTCTGCCAAGTTTATCAGAAATATGGAAGGAAGAACAATGTTAATGGGGATGCTCAAGCAAAAGAGGGAGCGGGTGGGTGTGTTCTCGACTAATCTCACCTCGGACAGCGCTGCTCCACCCTTTTCCCACTGCTGCCCCTTCTCTACCAAGCAGCCTTGTTAACGCTCTTTCCTAAATATTACTGGTCCGTGAAAGTTTACTATCTCAGGTACACTCTGGTTGTGTACTGAGGCCTGGAAAATTTGCTTCCTCCGCTAACTCCCCCTTTTTGCCTCCTTGGGACTGTTGTCCCCATTTAGGGCATAATCTCAGCAAGTTTGGCAGCATGAAGTCTAAGTTTTCGGCTTTGTTTTGTGACTTTAAAATACTTTTTTTGTTGGGGCACCTGGCTGGCTCAGTCGCTAGACCTGCGGCTCTTGATATTGGGGTTGTGAGTTTAAGCCTCATGTTTTGGGGAGTAGACTGTAGTTAAAAAAATAATTTTTTGTTGGGGGGCTGGGTCTTCTTCAGGTGGTAGAATCTCATTTTTTTTCCCACTCAGTTTCTACTTCATAAATGATAAGACTGTAAGGAGTGAAATTTCTGTAATTTCTCAATAACAAGTCCAGGAAGACCTCTCTTCGAAACTATTTTATGCACTGTGGAAAGCTTTAGTATCATTCTTTCTTTCTTTTTTTTTTTTTTTAATGTTTATTTATTTTCGAGAGACAGAGAGAGACAAGCAGAGAGAGGGGGAGACATGGAATCTGAAGACAACTCCAGGTTCTGAGCCATCAGCATAGAGCCTGATGTGGGGCTTGAACTCACGCGGACCATGAGATCATGACCTGAACCAAAGTCAGAGGCTTAACCAACTGAGCCACCCAGGTGCCCCAGTATCATTATTTCATTAGGGAAATAAACTTGCAGGCTGGAACACAGGTGTGTGTGTGCATGCATATACATGTACACGTGTGTGTGTGCGCGGGTGTGCTCATTACCTTCTCATCATCTTCCCAACGCTCTTCCGATGAGTAGAAGTGAGTAGAAGCAGCTAGCGTGGCGGCCACCTGACATAGGAATCAAATGGAACTCCTGGGTTTCTCTTTTTTGTATAGTGACTTTCCACTGGAATGAAAATATCAATAAGAAAAGAAAAATCAGACAATGAAAGTTAGCCCAAGACTAAATCATCCTTTTATCTTACTATTTCCCCCAAGGTGTGAAAGAAACAAAAAAGAGAAACCCAAATTCCTTCCTCCTCTACCATTGCTTCCTCAAATGCTGAGGTGTCTCATTTCTTCCTGTACAATTTTGAGCGAGATGAGTTCAAAAGGCATGGAGAGACCAAGAAAAGTGCTGTGCTGGGGGGGGGGGGGGCACATAGTTCTGTGAGTTGAACCAGGGATGGGTGGAGGTTGGCAGGCGGGTGGCGGGAAGGGCAGTCGGGGTGAGGTGATGAAGGCCTGTCTGGACAGGTGGGAACTCTACCTCACTTACATCCGTGTGCCTAGGAGAGAAGCTGGCACAGGCCCTGGTGAGTTGGCTTGGCCCACGCGCAGTATCCGCTGCGGGCCGGTTAGGAAAATGGAAAGCACATGGGGCTTTGAGCACAGAGAATTTAATTTAGGGAATGGGTTAAACAGGTATTATTGGAGGAAGCAAGGCAAAAAGGGAGCCCTGTGGGAACACAGAGACGGTAACTGCAGGAAGTGGACGCCATGCGGGCCGCTGGTCAGGGGATGCTCCCAGGAACCTCCCGCCTTCCGTCTCTCTGGCACCCCCTGGTGGGCCTGATGGGGAGCGCTCGGCAGCCGGGCTCTGTGATGGGTGTGAGGCTGGGATTCCGCATATTATCTAACGTTTGCTGTAATGGTGTGAACACAGCCCATTCCAGCTTTCCACACCTCAATCAGAAGCCAGAGAAACAAGATGATGGTTTAAACCACGAAAGAGTACGAGACAGCTCAAATCTGTGCCTCTTTCTATTGCTGGATGACAAACTCCCCCAAAGTGTAGTGGGTTAAAAGAGTATTATTTTACATGGTTTCTGTCTCCCGCTGACGGCTCGCCTGGGGCCGGAGAGGATGTGCTGTCTCCGGGGTCACGCACGGACCTGGCGTGCTAGGGCCACCTTCGGGAGCAGCCCTGGGTCCCTCCGCACCTGACACCCCTCCCCACCCCCCCACCCCCCCGTCTGCTTGAATGTGTTCACAAGGATGTGGTGGCCGGCTTCCCCCAGCACATGAGCCAAGAGAGACAAAAGGAGAAAGCTACCCTTTTATATTAAAAATACATTGTATTATGGTAAAATATACACGACATAAAATTTACCATTTTAACCACTTCTGCCACACAGTTCAGTGGCATTGAGTGTGCTCACACTGCCGTATAGCCACCACTACCATCCATACTCAGAAATTTTTCATCTTCCTATGCTCTCCCCTTCCCTCGCCTCCACAGAACCCCTGGGAACCTCTGTTCTACTTTCTGCTTTCTGTCTCTCTCCATCTCTTTTATGGCCCAGCTTCAGAAAGCTCTCCCTGTCTTTGCTGCTGTGTCCTGTGGTGACACAGGTCTGCTCGATTCAGGGCGGAGGGGGACAGCACAGGGTGTATCAGGGAGCAAGGGACCCTGGAGCCCTCAGGAAGCAGGCTGCCACAGGCTGTATTCCTTATCCTAACGCACGCACCTGAGAGTCATATCTGACTCCCTCCCCGCATCAGTCAGCCAGCAAACCCTGACACGCCTGCATCCCGAGTCCTGGAATCTTGCCCTGCTCTTCCTGCCCACTTACAACGCAGTAGCTCCTAGCCGGTCCCCCTGACTCCACCTGCTCCCCCCACATTCCATCCCCCATCCCCCATTTTGTAAAGAGGGAGTTTTCTCTTTAAAAATGAATTGTTCATCTTCTGATTATAGAAGGGATGCATACTTATTGCAGAATATTTGGGAAATACAGAAGGGTGCGCAGAAGGCAATACAAATCCCACCACTCAACAAGCCCCTGTTAATCACACACGCACGTGCACGCACATACTCTTCCAATCTTCTTTCTCTGCGATATGCTGTGTGTGTACATACAGACTTAACAATTTTTTAAGTGACTATATGATCAGACTACATGTAGGCTTTAATCTTGCTTTTAGTGCTGGCTTCAGCAGTGCATATACTAAAGTTTGCTTTTAAAATTCAATTTAGCACAAACATTGTCTTATGCTGTTAAGACTTCTTCCTTCTGACCACTGCGTACAATATATCAGATGGATGCATTAGCTTTTATTCAGCCTGTTTCTTCTTGTCAGTGAGTGTATCGAGGCATCAAAATTTGATGTGGCAGATAACTCTGTGATGAACATCCTGTACAGGTATCTTGGCATCTCTTTATTTCCTTTAGATGGATTCTTTTTTTTTTTATTATTTTAATAGTTTATTGTCAAGTTGGTTTCCATATAACACCCAGTGCTCATCCCCACAAGTGCCCTCCCCCTACCCCTTCCCCTTTCCCTCCCCCCCACACCCATCAGTCCTCAGTTTGTTCTCAGCATTCAAGAGTCTCTCATCGTTTGCCTCCCTCCCTCTCCTCCCCTATTTCCCCCCTTCTTCTCTCCCACGGTCGTCCGTTAAGTTCCTCCTAATCTTTGTATACGTGCAAACGTATGATATCTGTCCTTCT